CCTTGTCATTTTGTATTGTCCAAACTAGCCCTACAAATTTAGATTTGGCTCGGTATAGTCCATGGACCTAGATAATATCACAGGTGCATGATATATCATTTGAGCATGCAAGGTCAATATTTAAATTAATGTCCAAAGTACTCTTACATTTATCCTAACAAAGAAACAAAAGCAAAGTAAAAAAAACAAAATGGAAAAATGAAGTGTGGCCCAACGTTGTTGTCTTTTATTTTTTATTTGTTTTATTTTCTCTTTATTTTTTTAAATGGTGTATATAAGGGTATATTGGACATTTAAACACCTTGCATTCAAGTATGATATGGCATCCTCATGTGGTATTTTTTTGGTCCAAAGCCATGACCAATTTTAAGGACTAATTTGGATAATAAGAAATGTCAAGGACTAAATTGATCGAGAGTAAAACTTAAAGTACTGTATTGGGTATTGGCCGTTCACTTCTTTTTTTTTAAAAAAAAACAACGAAACGAACCACCTGTTGAGCTATATCAGCAACAAACTAGTAACCATCAGATGTTACAGTTTAACTTCTTAAAGTTCTTTAGATCATACAGCATGGCCAATATCAATTCTTTCATCAAAGGAAAAGAGACAGTTGTTTTAACTAAGTTTTCTACGATAAAATTCTGTGTCACCGTGTGATAGCCCAACTGCCAACGACAAAATTCCTAGCATTTGTGACGAGCCCATTAATTTATCACATTGAACATAGGGGTGGATAGCGAGCTGGCTCGGCTCGGCTTGGTCAAGCTTGTTAGGAGCTCGTTAGGCTCGCGAGCCAAACCATCCAGGCGGCCAGGCCTCTCTTATTCTCAGTGGGACGCGACGCAGCTAGGGGTGGATGTGGGCGGCGAGCGAGCAGCAGTACGTTGCTCCACGGCAGCATCAACTGCCGCGGCCTCCTCCGTCAGGGACTCCGGCACGACGGCGGCAAGCTCGGCGCTGATGTGCCGCCGCGCGTCGCCGATGGGGCACATGCTCCACCCAGTTGCCATCTCGACGGCGATGAGGCCGTGCACCTTGGCGAGCTCTGTTTCGAGCTTCTCCTCCTCCCAGTAGCGTGAGGCGGCGGCGGCGGTGGAGGAGGAGGAGGAGGAGGAGCTTATCGGCGGGCTGGCGGCTGGCGGTGGAGGAGGAGGAGGAGGAGCTCATCAGTGGGCTGGCGGTTGGTTGCGGTACGGCGCGACGCATGGCGGTGTGAAAGGGGATCGGCGGCGCATGATGTGGGCATGCGGGATGCGGCGCTGGATGTGGGAGACAGGGAGAGTGGGAGACCGGGAGTAGTCTAGGGTTTTCCTCTCGGTTGGGCTTGGGCCGGTGTGTAACTTGTGTTGTGTCATTGTCTGTTGGGCTTGGGCCTTAGAGTGCTAGCTCGTTAAGGCTCGCGAGCAGCTCACAAGCTAGCTTGTTATCTCTGACGAGCTTTTAGCGCCAGCTCGGCTCGTTACGAAATTTAAAAGAGCCGAGTCGAGCGAGCTAACGAGCCATAACCTTCCTGTCCACCCGTAATTGAACATATATTATGACCAAGAATTCCAGTTATCACTAGAATCGGCCGAGGGTGAAGTTTACAACAAATATTTTTTACGAATTGGTCATAAATGAATGACGAGCTCCCTATTCGTCACAAGGGAATAAATCAAGGAAGCCTAGATCTATTGTAGTGTACTGACATGTCTCTTCACTACATCTCACGGTAGCTAGTGTCACGTTGATTCATCTCAACACAAGTGTCACTGGGGCGGAAAGAAAGCTCAAAGACCGTGCCCCGGATTGGTTTGTAGTGAGTTTTGTTCGAACTTGTAGTCATTATGAATCAAGCGGAGATAGGCTTTTAGCTTGTGAGCTTATCAAGGCAACTCGCCAATTGCTTGTTTAGCTTGTTAGTAGTACAAGAGATTATCATAACTACATATACTTTGTATTATTTAGTCTTTCATTTATATCCAAGCTATTTATATTTAGTGTTATTACTATGGTAATATATATATGATAAAATGGTAAATTTAATATTATAAAGGATATATAAATGTGTTAACAAGCCTAACAAAAGCTTAACAAATCAGCTCGCGAGCCAAGCCAAGCTAAACTTTTATTTCGTTAAGATTAAGGAGCTAAGCTAGGCTGGAATGGTTCCTTAAGATAATGAGTCCAAACGAATCGAGACTTAATGAGACGAGCTTGCTCGTCAATGAAGGCATGACCGATTACTATACGCGAGAGGCCATGGGGTTTGGGGAAATTGTCACCACCACACATACATGTAGAAGCCATTGGGTGGAGAAAGAGATTAGGAGATTTAGGTTCTATTTGGAGAGCTTAAGATTCTGAGAAGCTACTATTTGGTAGCCAGCTTCTGAGTATCTACAAACCTGGTTTTCGTACTAGCTTCTTAGAATATATGTCAGAATTTACACTGTTTGGGAAGTTAGATATTGTATGAGAAGCTCTCCAAAGAGGCTCTTAACACCGCTATTGGTTCAACAAGTAGTTTGATACTCTCCATTTTAAAATATAACAACCTAGTAATAGAATAGACACAACCTAGTACAATCAATCTAAACCCTAGTAACCCTCCATTCAGATTCGTAGTGATAGATCAATATATTTTACTACATCCGTCCTAAAATATAACAGTTTTTAGCATTCAAGATTTGTCCCAAAATATAACTTTTTTCATCAACATTATCTTCCCAACCAATCACAACTCTACACTATTCAATTTCCCTCACCTATCTCTACTTCTCAATTAATCATTATATTCCTCATTTAATTGTACTTAATCCTATCTTACAATAATTATAGTCCACTATTCTAAAGCTCAACATGCAAACATGCCACCTCATCATCCACTAGCAATAATTACATACAAAACTTATGCAAGCATGCAATATCATCTATAATTCACTGAATTCTACAAATCAACATCCAATCATCTTCGTTCACATTATTTTTCACAATATTTTTAACACACACATATATATCCATCATTTTTATAATACTTAACATATATTCATCCATATAATCAATGTGCGGTATATCATATTTCATCTACAATCTCATACAGAATCTACTTAAATGTATTTATCTCTGAACATAGTTTGACAATCCAGTTTTATTTGTTGTTCATAACTAATATAATTTTTACTTTTAGCTCGATTGTTAGAAAAATATTAAAAGTTACTTAGGAATTTCTACATTAAAGCGCGGGGAATCACCTAATTTTTAATACCCATGTCCAACCCTAAAAGGACGGAGGTACTAGCACTAGCCTTCTAGAACAATTAATGGTCAGCCACAAACTATAATAAAAATAATAAAAAGATAAGTGTTTTTTATGCCACATAAATATTGCACCCCTTTACTCAAGTACTTTAGTTGGTTGTTTGTATTTTCTTACTACCTCCGCTGAAATATAAGTTATTCCCCAGAGATATTAAGGTTAACTTTATTTTCTCTTTATAAAGAAGGAATGGATGAGCGTGGAAGGGAATGTAAGATAGAAAAGAATTGAATCGAAAATGATCGGTGAGACAAGTACTATTATAAATAAGCAATTTTACAATCCTTAAGTAGGTACTATAAGATACCACTTTTTACTAGTATGGTAGAAGTTCTTATATTTTACCACAGGGAGCATATTATAACCAAGTGTAAATAGATGAACCAACGCGACGTGATTGCATTGATTTAATAAATAAGTTTACATCGATTGAGCAACACGTGGGTAGGATGCCTAGTTGACAGAAAGATGTAACTACTGGTATTGTCCATATTAGCTCTACATAAGATTGAGACAAAACAGAAAATGGAGTGCCCTGTATATGCATGTTCCTGCATCTCCATGTGACCGTGTTAACATCATCTTTTAAGCTTTGCCATATCCTCAAGCAGCCATAGCACTAGCAGGTGTAAACGATGTATGGAAACGAGAAGACTAGCTGCCGCGTATGCGGACGCGCACGTGTTGGGGTTAACATAACTATTTCAATTAGTTAAGGGTAATGAGGGTAATTAAAGAAAGATTTTTCACTTTTTTGGAGAATTTTTTTTACTAATAGATTGAAAATTTTTTTAAGTTATATTTGAAAACTTTTTGACTTTCGATTTAAATTTTGACAACTCTCAACTCAAAATTTGAAAATTTCAATTTGCAAGAAAAATTTTGAAAACTTTCAACTCCATTTGAAAACTTTCAATTCCGACTTGAAAACTTTCAACTCGAGATTCGAAAATTTTCAACTTGAGATTCGAAAACTTTCAACTCAGATTCGAAAACTTTCAAGTCGAGATTTGAAAAGTTTCAAATCAGATTTGAAAACTTTCAACTTGAGATTCGAAAACTTTCAACTCAGATTCAAAAACTTTCAACTCAGATTCAAGAACTTTCAAATCAGATTTGAAAATTTTCAAGTTAAGTTTTAAAAACTTTCAATTCAAAATATTTTGAAAAAAATACGTGTGCTAAAGATTTTAAAAAAAGTAATCAGAAAAAAAGAAAAAAAAGCTAAAAGAAAAAATCGAAAAAAAAGGCCGATGGGCTTCTGGGCCGGGGGGCCCGTAGGGAAATACATATGTCTAACAGAATATAAGACGTAATGAAATATATCAATTGTACACAAATAAGAATTAGTACAATTTCATCCCCCTCAGTCTTCAGTTACCCAAAAATAAAAAACTGATATAGTGAAATATGTATGCTGGAGCTCTTCAAATGACAGCAAATAGTTTGATTCATCGTCACCCTTGTTCCATGGTTATACCCATTATAAAGTTGCTACTCCACAATTACAATATAACCGAGAACATTCGAGCGCATGTATATCTCCAATCCACTTAATTTGCAGCATATGACATATCGATTCAAGCAGTGGCGGACCTAAAGAAATTTTGAGAACCTGGGCAGATCTAATTGCATTCAATGTTTTCTTTAAAATTTTCGTTTTTAATCACTGAAATAACAGCAAAATATTACTCCCTCCGTTTCGATATATATGAAGCTTCCGACAGCATGGACAAAATTAAGGATAGAGCGATTTTACTATTTTGCCCTTCATCCCTTTTGGACGACAGGGAGGAGCACAGTGCGCGCGGCCCGGCCGTCTCCCTCAACGCCGGCTCCCTTGCCATCTCCCCCGCGCTGCCTCGACGCCGGTTCGCTCGTCGTCTCCCAAACGCCGCTGCTCGCGACCACAGGAGGAGGAACCCGCTGCACAACGCTCTTCCCGGACGCCGCGTCGCCCTTTCTTCTCCGACCTTCCCGGTGAAAGCGGCGTTGGAGCCTGAGATCAAGCGGTCCTTCTCGATTCAGTCCTCCTCCTTTCTCGTCTCCAAGCAGCATGTCCTCCCCGGACCTCGGCTCCTCACTCGTCACCCTCTCTGTAAGTGAGCTCGTCGATCTCGCCTTCTCCAACTTCCAGCTTGTTTAATTTTTTTTTTCTCATTTCCTCCAATTTTCATTGCCTAATTGCCTGGTTTTGCCCAATTTACAATTTAAGCAGAAGGAGAGGAGAAGCCCTGGTTCTGGTTGATCTCCAGCCGAACGGCAATAACGACGATGTCATCTGCAGATGCAGTACGTTCTGCTTGGTTTCAGCCGAGTGGCAAGAACAACAGTGGCGGCAGCAGCAAGCCCGACGTCCGGCTCCCTGTGCGCCATGCTGCCCGACTCTTGCTTGCCCCACAGGCCACAGCTCGGGGTGGGTTGCCGCCAAATTGGGGTGCGGCGGCGGCGCACGGGAGGCATGAACGGCAGCGGCGCGTGGGAGGAGGAGACAGTGGCGAGCGAGTCCGGTCGCGATGAGGACGAGGCAGCGCCGTGGCGATGTTGAGATGGAGGGCTACGATGGAAATTAACAAACGTGACTAGGACGGATGAACTGGTAGCGTCAAACAAAAAAAAAACGATTCTGATTTGCACTGTAGCGTCAAATGAAAAGAAACGGAGAGAGTATACTGTATGCTCGTTGACAAGCCCCAAGGTCGCAGGGCAGTGGCTCTGCCCTCTGGATTCATACACACCACTCCATCAACATATGCAAAGTCCACAGCGGTGGCGAACTCGATCAGAAGTTTGATCGGGACCGTAGTGAGATGATCAATAATGTAGCATCCTTGAAGGCTACAAGCAGTGGCCGTTGCGTTCTCTGCAGGTATGCAGCACCAAGCCACCAATTTGGGTTCTGCCAGAAACAGTGAAGACTGCAGCTTCAACTTTGAGCTTCACAAAACAACTAGCAGGGTGGCCACTGCTAGCAAATATTATATATATATATTATGATACAAAATTATCTATATTTTTTTAATTTGAATCTCCATAAAAATTAGAATAGCTGACTTGTTGACTATGTCCATGATTAATCTATCGTATTGCATATATGTAGGCATATATTTGAAATAGAGAGAGCTTATATGATTGAATGATATGATTTTTAAGGGAAATTAAATAAAGTGATTATAACATGTTTTTCTGCTTTGACTTAAAAATAATCAGGCATCTATATTTTAATAGGTTTTCGAAGTCATGTCAGCTGCCACTATCCCTTTGCTCATTTGCATCTTGTCCCTCCTCTTCATATTTGTCACCCTCCAATGACAGTTGTTACTTATGCACTTGAATCTCATCGTCATCATTGATCTGTTTTTAAAGTTTTTAGATGCCATTACCAACTTACATATTTGTTGTCTCTCAGCTCGCTCTCCCATGTTAACTGACACCTCTATACTTCTTTGCACCCTCCGCTCGCATGTCCACTGCTACTCTTATTCATTATAGGTACCTTACAAAATCGCGTCAAGGTTTTATTTTCATAGTTTGTCGAAGTTGTCACCACTACCTTATTCATTTGCCACCCCTCTGCTCACTCTCCGATAGCAACTATCATCTTCTTACTTATTTTCCACCTGTCTAGTTGTCAACCTGTCCCGCCATCTCTCATTTTGTTGTCATCAGCACCTTATAAAATCAAAACTCTTATCCTAGTTGGAGTTCCTTTTTATTATTTTTAGAAGTCATCGCTGCCACATTACTTCTATTTTTTTTTGCTCCTCAGCTCGCTCTCCCATGGCAACCACTGCTTCCCGCTCCTTTATCACTTATCCCCTTGTTAGCTTACACCGCATCTCTTCTTTATTGTTGTCGACGCCTAATAATATTGAAACTTATCATGATCGTGATCATGTTTGAAGTCCCTCTAAATGTTGTCGTCCTTGCATCCCTTGCTTTGCTCTTTTTCATCCAAAGGGTCGCCCTCTCACAACTCCTACTATTTGTCACTTGAATAGCTCTCCCTCCCACAACCCTAGTAGGACTAACCTATCGAAACCTTTTATTTGTAAAGCTTGGTGCACTTTTTTTATGTGCTTTTGGACTAATTTTGAAAATACAATTTCAAAATTACTTTATTTGTATTCTGAATTTTAATTAATCTCATGTTGTGTTGATCTAGATAGACTCTTCTTTCTATATTCCTTATTTTTATTCGCAATTTTAGTTATTTCTAAATTATATTCTTAATTGATTAGGGTTCTTTTTTACATAGTATTTAGAAACCGTTTCTGTCACCTTACTCATTTTCCTTCCCTCAGGCCGTGTTCCCGTGGTAACCACTATCTTACTACTTTGTCATCCCTTGGGTCCTTCTCACAGCTCCTTCTATAGAATATTTTTAATTGGTAATCTTATATTTTTCATGTGTCGGTAATCAAAAGGGAACCCTCGCGAGCGAATATGTTTTGTTTAGCAAATGCTTAATATAGATATATTTGTCGGTATTTAAAATTTTATTGGCTCCACTACTCTTTTTTCAGTCGTATGCAATATTATTGCCTAGAGCGGACAGAGTGCCAAGCAGGGGATTGATTATATTCTTTTGGGATGACCGAAAACTTCTCTGAAAACTACTCCTTTTTCATTCGTGTTTATCCCATGTCCGGTTGCAAAAATATATTTTCGCGGGTGGACAACAATCTCGTCCCACGGTTTTTATTTTTGTAGGTGGCCATTTAATTAGCTCCGAGATGCCTACCCGCCTGAAAAAAAATGCTATCGTCTGGAAAATAGTTTATTTAGTAGTGTGAGAGTCCGAACATGATTATTGTTTAGTTGTACGGTACTTTTGTTTTTCCAAAGTTTGAGTAGTATTTGTCTACTTAATGTGCCGTTAGGTATACTTATCAATTGATCTTATTGGTTAAAATATAGGTTTATCTAATGGTGTAGATTTTTTTCATAAAGACGATAATTTTTAGGCCACCCGAATAAAAGATAGCACTTTTTTAGCCATCTTTATAATATATTTTTTCGATTAACATGGTAGTTTTTGGCCTCTAAAATAAAAGTGTGGATTTTTCTTCAAGCTACTCGTATCTTATTTAGATAATCCTGACTCTTCACCTTATATCAGTTACAAATATTCAGCTATACTGCCCAAGCATGGAAGACTGTCACATACACATGCATGCATGGTGTAATTGTAGAACTAATCTATTAATTAATTAATTAGTTGATGATGTCATTATTAGAGATCAATACATGGAAAGTCCTTAACTAATTATCTAGGACACCATCAACACCAACTATTACCTTGCGCTTGGTGGTACGTGCTTGATTAGGATTGCTAATATAGCATGTATATTAGTTCCTGCCTTTATTCCTTCAATCGGAATCCAAACCGTAATTTTTTTTTTTGAATTTGATGGCAACTGAGCAGACCACTTTGTATTCCTACGTTAGCAATACAACTCTAGTTTCTAACTATATACGTATTAGATGTTAACCGTTAAAATCTAGATCTATTATGATCCAATGATTAAAATATTTTTCCTTTTCTTCGATTAATGTGGAAATTTCTAGCCTCCACAGCAAACGTGGTGTCTTTTTTTAAGGCTGTTTTAATAATATAATAGATTCTGCATGACAAAAAACATGATTTCACCAATCCATGCATTTTGCAAGAGGATAGTAACAAGGTAAGGGTTATATACAATGTAAGTTAACCAACCTCTTCCAGAATAGTATATGTTTCATTTGAACAAGAACACTGAATAAACATCTGCCCATCCTGTCCTGCATCTTTTGACAGTGGTTTGAACAGCATAGCTGCATTCGATTTTCCACATATCCACCCTAGAAAACTCCCTTAGGGAGAGAAATAGAATAAATGAAGAATAACAAAGATGATCAATTCGAAACTAGCAGGTTAAAAAATGTTGCTTTGGGATAAACAGAGATCCATATATGTGAGGTGAGAAGCTCTGAAGGAGATCAAGAACTGCAAGTTCCATAGCTCACATCTGCCTATCTTTTGAACTTGGAACCAACAATTACTTTTTTCTACTCCTAGTCCTAGTTTAGTAGGAAAAGGTAGACCAAGACAATGGATATGAAAAAACTAACCACCTGCAGCCAGACTGCCAGAGCAAACATGACGTACGACAAATTATTAATTTTTCACATGTTCAGCAAATAGATTGCAATGAGCTAATGTAACCACAACTTTGTTTTGTCTGATCTCTCTTTGCTTTTGTACTAGCCAGTGACCATCAAATCAAACCTTTTTGCAGGATACATAATATTCTTTTCGTTATCCAAAAAGCTAATATTCTTTACGAAAAGGAAAATAAACAGCAGGTAACAATAAAGATAGCAAAAATTTTACTCCTGCACTATGTGATAGGTCAGCAACGATATAAAATATGACTAACACATAATGTTGAACCAACCATGTATACACAAGCTCTTTCAGACATTATAGCAAACACCTCGTGTGCACACCAAAATGGAAATAACAAAACCACAATCGTGCCTGAAATGCTGTTCCCCTCTATAGTGTAATAAACATGGTTTCTGTTCTGGATGAATTGGAAAAGTAGACTGCCCAGGTAAGAAGTGGAAATAAAACACCTGATCAAATGAAAAATTCTAAGCTGCTGGTTCAAATGCTCATGCTGGAACCAGTAGCATATCGCGAGAAAAGATCAGATTGAACCATTCATACCCGAGAGGGAAGAATCGAGAGAGTGAGACGCGATGGAAGAAAGTGGAAGCCACCTTATGCAGGGTTTTAAATTTCGAAACTTGGTTTTCTACCGGAGGTGAGCGAAAGAACCGAAATTTTGGAAATTTCAGAATTTTTCGTACGAAATTATTTGAAATTTTGACTGATTTTGAATGAATTTGAATAAAACTTGACCAAATTCACAAAAAAATGGCAAAAACCGAAAATTTCGGGCGAGATGTGAGCATTTCGGTGGGGGGGGGGGTGAAATTTCGAACCGAAACTTCAAACCCTGACCTTATGTCAGCACCCCTCCTTGGAACAGCGAGGTGTGCGCAGCCGCAGAAGCAGGGACGACCGGAGGTGCCAATGGAGGAGATGATCACTTGATCAAACCACCTTGAGCTATGCATATCTGTTCTCTGTTAGGTTAAGAAAACAAGAGAGATGAAAGGGTGAGTTGAAATCATCGATGTCACCAGATGGCTAATACTGAACAAGAGGAGGAAACAAGTTAATTAAGCTGCCATGTAGGGAGAGAGAGTGACTGACCTGTCGTTTGTTGTCAACATGATTACTTGCGAGCTGTCTCCCTCCTGCTTAGGGAGGAGATCCTTTGGCGTTGCCAGCAAGATCGTGATCACTTCGGTCCATTGCCATTCGCAGCACGGGACAATTTGGGTGTGCGTTCACTTCTCCCTCCAGCTGAGCAAGCATCGCCACTTTACCTTTGTATTCAACTGAAATCTCCTTGAGCCTTGGAAGGTGAATGATACCAATAATCCCTGATTCCAATCTGCACCTGCCTATTTCTATCTTTTCCAATTGGGGTGAGCTGCCGTCCTCAAATCTAATATCTCTTTGCTGATCCAAATTGAAAGTCACAAGTGTTCTAAGATTTGGGAATGCTCCTGTTTTGAATACTAACTTCTCCCCAAGGTAAGCATTGTGACAAAAATGAAGAAGCATGAGGTTGGGCAATGCCCCAAGTATCAGCATGGTTTTACCTTCCTTTAGTTTGGTCCTCAATAAGTAGAATTTCCTCAGGTGAGTGAGCCGCTCAATCCAGTTAGGCAACTCTTCAAGACTTCCATTCAACCTGAGTGTCCTCAATAGGGGAGGAGGCGATGAAACAGAATCTAGGCACTCAAGTGTTCCAATACCTGTGCATCCCACAGCATCCATATGGAGAGATTGTAGGGAATAGAGCTTCTGGATGGCTGTATAGAGTATCTCACATTTTAACTTTGTAGATCCCTTTGTTACCACATATAGTTTCCTCAGCTTGCTTAACTGCCCCAACTCTTTTATTACTCTACTGCTAGTCCTTCTAATATCCACTACCCCCAATATTTGTAAGTCTCTCAACCTACATATTCCTTTTGGTACCTTGACGCCATTTGATTTTGAACGGAAGCTTTTGGTGGCCAAGTGCAAGTTAGCAATTTTTTCAGCACGATCAGAGGTACTAACGGAAGGTGTGAATATCATGGGCAGGCACAATGTGTCAGTTAAACATGTTGTGAAAGAAGAAAAATCATATTGCTTCATGCATCTAAGGCTCCGGAGACTCCGAAGCTTAGTAATCTGAGTTGGCAGTGTTGAAATGTTCGTCGAATCCAAGTCCAATGTCTGCAGACCATCCAGTCTTCCTATGGATTTTGGAAGTGAGTAAATATATGATGCATTATTGTATCTTGCAATGCGTAGGTATTTCAAGTGGCACAAGAGCACTATATTGTTGACATCATTTTGTGTGATAGTAAATTGTGCATCTCTTAGATCCAAGACCCGTAACATCCTCAACTGAGATGAACAAACTGAATGCTCTAGTTCTACGGGCCTCTCGGCAAACATAGTTAATGACCGTATAATGCTCCAGTCAAAGCTTATCTTAGAGCAATACTTACTCCCCTGAAATGCTATGTGCCGAGTGTTCCCCTGTACTGCTTCATAGTCAGTGCCCCTAGGTAAGAATACAAAATTTTCCTCTCTAGAAATCGAAATTGTAATATCACGCATTATATCATGGACTCGACAACTCTAAAACTCTCCTCGTACACCCGCTCTTGATGGCTGAATCATGCTACGGTTGATGAGTTCTTTAAAGTAACTTTTCCCAACATCTTCAATAGTCATATTAGCCCTAGCTTTAATAAACCCCTCTGCCATCCATCTATTTACCAGACGGTTCCTATTAATTTCAAAATCCTCAGGAAATATGCTTAGATACAAAAAGCATTGCTTAAGATGAGATGGCAAGTAGTTGTAACTTAGGGTCACTATCCTTCTCATTGCTTCAAGGTTTGGGTTGCTCTCAAGCTCTGAAGGTATCTGACTATAAAAGGTTTCCCACTCTCTTATCTCTTTGGTGGCAAGCACGCCCCCTATTGTGAGTATAGCCAGCGGTAAATAACCACACTTCTTTACTATTTTAGTAATAATGTCACTCATCTTTTTATCACTTTCTATATCTTCTGTTGTTTTATTTGCTTTCCTTAGAAGCAACTCTTTCGCATAGCTTATTTCCAGGGGTTTAAGCTGGTAGATAAGCAATTCAGAAGTACACTCCTTAGCTAAGCCAACATCTCGTGTTGTTACTATCACCCAGCTCCCTTTATTGTTATTTCTAGGGAAGGCAATGCTATTAATCCATTTCTATGAATCTGTACTCCACACGTCATCAAGCACAACAAAGTACCTCCTTTCATTTAACTCTGTCCTGAGGTAGCTGGCGAGGTCGTCTACTTGTGGAACCTTCCCTTCGAGTTCTCTCATCTGCTTCTTCAGTACTTCCTCTCCAAAAAGTTTCATCATCAAATCCTTTAGTAGTTCCAACCTAACAAAGGACTGTGAAACAGTAATCCAAGCACAGCAAGAAAAATTCTTTGCAATGTCCTCTTTGCTTTCATAAATTTTCCTTGCAATAGTAGTCTTACCCAAACCACCCATACCGACAACACATACGACTTCTGTAGGTCCGATATTGGCATGGACATCTATAAGATCAAGCAACTCTCTTTTGGGTCCAGAAAAACCCACAAGATCAGCTTCCTCAATGTTGTTAGCTGATTGGTTGCGAATGTCTTCCATAAATAAATTCCTCTCATCAGTAGTGGTGCAGGTGAGGTCATTCTCTATTAAGTTGTAGCGTATGTTCCTAGTGCTTACTTCTTCAATTCTTGTCCTGAGATTGCGGATCTGGATGGCAATCCGATGGCGATCCTTTAGCTTCATCAACTGCCTCGACAAGGTTTGGCTGCTCACATGAACTGTAAATTCATCAAGGCAATCTTCAATGTCATAGGATAGATCCCTTACTTGCTGCACCCAAACCTTCAATAGTATGCTTTTCTTTGATGGTTCAGCAGCCATCAAAAATGCTTGTATCCTTTGTAGCTCGTCCTTGATGAACCTGTAGACAAAATGTTCAACGGAATTCAAGACATTGTTTTCACAGGTCTAAAGGTGGTGTTTGGATCCAGGGACTTAACTTTAGTCCCTATATTTAGACACTAATTTAGAGTATTAAATATAGACAACTTACAAAACTAATTACATAAATGAAAACTAATTCACGAGGCAATTTTTTTAAGCCTAATTAATCCATAATTAGATAATGTTTACTGTAGCATCACATAGGCTAATCATGGATTAATTAGGCTCAATAGATTCGTCTCGCGAATTAATCCAAGATTATGGATGGGTTTTATTAATAGTCTACGTTTAATATTTACAATTAGTGTCCAAACATCGGATGTGATAGGGACTTAAAAGTTTTAGTCACATCTAAACAGGATTTAAATCTTTCTCAGCTCATCCAGGCGTGGCCAACATCCCACGTGGACTGCGTTGCTTGTATGTATACATGCATATATAGCATTATAAATCACAAATATGAACAAATTGGAAGCTCAAACTAGGAACGTGAAGATTAATTTGCATTAAATCTTTGATTCCATGGTCAAAAGCAAAATTGCACAGCACTGAACGTAATAGTTCCATGTCAAATTGTACATGCATTTGACTTAAGCATGCCATGCTACATTGTTTACTCTCGAAGGCAACCATGTTTCTGTCTAAATTAGATTATCACCAGGTCCATAATAGCTGCGTCGTTTGTATTCCTTCATTGAACATGGTTACCATGAGGAAACTGTGTCCACTTGTGTTTGGGCATATAGAGGGACTTCCAGTACATCCTACTTTCACTTTCCTCTACATGTATCTCCCGAAGATGTTGCAAATAATATACTTATAAAAAAAACTGCATATGCGTTCCTCCAGGATATGTAATAAAAAATATAAATAAATCATTAAAAATAAACTGAGTACCATACCACTCTGCATAAGTGTGGTCCCAATAAATCTAATGCAAATGACAAATAAAATTAATTAGGCTGCAATTCAGATGCTCACCATATCTCCTTCTGCACTCCCAGCAGCAAGACCATCTTTTCTGCGGCAACCGAAGCAACCTTGCTTACAGCACTTCCCACCAGAGACTTTGCAATGCTGAGTACTGTATCCGTCATCTTATATTCCTTCTCTGAACAACTTTCTTTAAACTTTTAAGCAATAGATTATAAGTTCTATCTTTCAGGCTACAACTGTATTTATCTGCAATGTCAAATAGACATGTATAAATCAAACTGGGGAATGAAAAGTTTACATGACATAATAAAACAGGGACAAAGAGAACATGCAGAAAACCAACCAAAAATGGCTTCCACTTATAGTTATCCAACTTTTTTCTGGACATTGACTGAGCTCGGAGGTTCTTCATAGCAAAGCAGAAAGGACTTGCCTACCGTCGACCACTAGCTAGTGACATCTCCAAAGCCCAAACTCAAACGGTATAATCTCTTAACTAGTTAACTTTCTTAATTAGTGTCATAAAACCACTGGGTTAACAGAATATACACAAAGGAATTCCATGAGTTATACTTCAAAAAGATTACAGGAAGTTGACAAATATGCCAGCTGAAAAAAAAAATCGTAAGGAGATGCAAATAAAAATGAGGGGACCGCCATCCGAGTGATATCAGCCCAAGTCCAACAGTTCATAAGTTTACTTTTTCTTCCTTGAGGTGAATGTTGTAGCTTAAAACAAAAGGTTGTATATTGGTGAAACTATGCTTGTATTACAACTTTATGCTAAGTTCTGCAAGTTTAGCTTAACAGACAGGCAAGAAAAATAGCCAAACCTGAAAATGGTTGGGGAAAAAAATGGTTTCCAGAAAACTGCGGAAAATACCCAAATAATCTTCCCTGCTTAATTGAATAGCAGAGCTCCTGCTTTATCTTTTAAAAAAAACTGCAGAAATTCGGGGTTTACTTACCTATGCTGCTGTGCACACCCTGGGATCTGTGCACACACGGTGGTGAAGCAAAGGAACGCAGGGCGGTGCGCACAGCAGGTGTTCGACGGTGGTCCTAGCCTTGATGCAACGGCTTCGGCGTCCTTCCTCTTCCTCTGTAATCTCCGGAAAGGTGAAGATAGGGTACTAGACGCAGGAGGAGAAGTGGACGCTAGTGGCTGAGGAACCAACAAGGGGGAAGTAAGGAATGGGTGGACGGCGTCGGCTGGCAACATGGGCCCTCAGGCGCGCCGTGACTGACGGAATCGTCGTCATCATCGTCGTAGCATATTTTGGCATGCGCTTTGCCGGCCGTGACTTGATTCCAAGTCTCCGACGCAAGTCTTCGTCGTCGTCGCAGCTGCAGGATGGGCCTGGCCATGCGCTGTGGTTGCGCCTCGCGTTGTACTTGTGCTACCAGTGGTAGCGCGGTAGGCTTGGCTACCAATGGCAGATAGGACTACCTATACATTTGTCGACAAATTTTTCCCCAAAAATTTGACAGATGTAATTATAGTATAATCGTAGTGTAATTACACTGTAACTTATATGTAATTACACTGTAACTTATATGTAACTACACTGTAACTTATATGTAAGTTTCAAATAATTTTGAATTGTTAGATCTATTACAAGATTTGTTTTGGTAAGGAAGAAAACAAATCATACTACACACATGTGAAAGAATTTGTTCCCACGACTTCCATTTTACCGAAATAACATGTTACGGAGAGATTTTTGAAAGTTACATACAAGTTACACTATAGTTACAGTGTAATTACATGCAAGTTACAGCGTAATTACACTACGATTGTACTGTAATTACATCTGTCAAATTTTTGGAGAAAAATTTATCGACAAATATATAGCAAAATCGATGGCGGATTATTGTTGAGATGGATTCGGCCTGACACGGAAAGCGTTGTGTTTGAAACTGCTAAACTTAGGCTGTGTTAGTTGCAAACCCCTCTCCCTCTGTTCCGCGCGCACGTTTTTCAAACTACTCTACTGTTTTTTTAAAAAAATTTCTATACGAAAGTTGATTAAAAAAAATCATATTTATCCATTTTTTTAAAAAAAGAGCTAATACTTAATTAATCACGCGCTAATAGACCGCTCCGTTTTCCGTGTGGAGGGAATGAGTTCCCATCTCCTAAATCCGAACGCAGACTAAGTATTTTTTTTACAAAAATTTTCTATATGAAAGTTACTAAAAAAATAATATTAATCTATTTTTGAAAAAGAAAAGCTAATATTTAATTAATCACGTGCTAATGGACAGCACCATGGAAATGTTCAAACAACTCTTAGGCCGTGCTTAGTTCAGCCAACTACCCCCAACTCCCAACTTTCCATCACAGTATATCACATCGAAAACTTTCCTACACACATAAACTTCTAACTTTTTTTCAAGAACTAAACACACCCTTTAAGTGCGCATTCCAAATGGCCCTATGCATTTATGTTGGCCGAATAATAAGTATTCCGAGCAGAGACAGAGCATGTTCGATTCAAATGTGTAGTCACAGAGGATAGAAAACCAAAATACAGAAAAAAAAAAGTGAAGAAAAAGGAGTAAATAGGAAAGAGGGAGGAATCAGCAAGTCTAAGCAAGCAGCACCAAAACAGTCATCCATTCTAGTAAAACAAAAGAAAAATGTTGATATCACAAATTTTTGGCAACATTGACAATAAAAAATATTTTTGTACAGAACTAAAAAAAGATAAATCCCTCTAATAAATAAGGCAATTTTTGCTTGAGGACACCGCTATTGTGTGGTTTTAGCCATGGTATGCTGTCCAAACTCACTTTGGGGAGAAAACACTCCATAAACGAGGTAATTTGCCAATAAACACCGCACCGATTAAAATAATGATTTCCGGTTGAGGAGAGAGAAATCGCGTGAAATGTCGAAAATACCCTTGAGCCCACGTATCAGCTTTCCATCTCTCTTCATCTCTTTCTTTTCTTTCTCCCTTCTTCTTCTTCCTCCCGCCGCGGGTGAGCAACGGCGCAACGCACAGTCGGCGCGACGGCTCGAGCCAGGACAACTCGGCACGTGGCCGGGAAGCGGCAGCGCACCGCTAGGGACCCACCGCCAATGACGACGAGGCACGACGTGGTGCGGGGCGGTGCAGAGGCGGAACGGCGTCGGCACCCGATTATTGGCATCCGGGATGCGACGTCTGGAGCGAGATTCTAGCGGTGGCGACAGCAAGGGTGGCGCGGCCGGTGCGGCGGAGCAAGGCTGGGTCAAGCTCGAGGCCGACGAGGAAGAGGAAGAACGTCGCCGCCGTGCTCGTGTGCTCGGTGTCGCCACTTGCCATAGCGCCGTGCGCCGGGTGGCCGCTGCGCCTCGTCGTCGTTGGTGGTGGGTCCCCGACAGTGCGCCGCTGCTTCCCCGGCTGCGCGTCGAGCTGTCCCAGCTCAGGCCGTCACGCCGCCGCTGCTCACCCGTGGTGGCAGGAAGAAGGGAGAAAGAAAAGAAAGAGAGGAAGAGAGATGGAGAGCTGACATGTGGGCCCAAGGGCATTTTTGACATTTCACGCGATTTCTCTCTCCTCCTCAATCGGAAATCATTATTTTAATCGGCATGGTGTCCATTGGTAAATTACCACGTTTATTATGGAGTGTTTTTCTCCAAAAATGAGTTTGGGCGGTGTCCTATGGCTAAAACCACATAATAACAGTGTCCTGTAGAAAAAATTGCCAATAAATAATCTGATTAAAGAGAAAAATAATAAGGTTAATAATCACTAAAATTTTCCATTTTACGTACATGAGCAGAAACAAATTAGTTTCGTACCACATCAAAAGTAGTAGAGAAATAACCACCAACTCAATTTACCATCCTAGTACTCCAAGATTAAGATTAAAAGAACAATTTTACAGTTCTTGAGAAGCTAATAGGAAGTAGCACTTTTCTAATGTAATTTTGGTACCTCTCAGTACCGAATTTTACATTAAATTTTTAAAGATATGCTCCGGTCTAACAAAAAGTACATCGAGTCCTTGAGATACCGATACCTCACGCTAGATCTAACAATCGTAAACGATTTGGTACCGTGAGGTACCCATAACTCGAGATACTTTTTGCTATACCGGAGCAAATCTCAAATTTTTGTACCTATCAGTACCTCCTCAATGAGCAATGAACCACCCTGCTCCTACGTCTTCTTGTCAATACCATTTTTTACATATCATCATGTAATAATCAAGCAGTCATCTGATTCAACTCTTAAAATATACTCCCTCCGTCCCTAAATATAAGGGATTTTGGTTGGATACAATATATCCTAATACAACGAATCTGGACTGGAGCTTATCTAGATTTATTGTACTAGGATATATCATATCCAAACAAAATCCCTTATATTTAGGGACGGAAGGAGTATGATAGATCAATGACAGACAAATAAGAATTAGTACTCTTATCTGAGCTAAAATTCAGCCTGTGCTCTGAAATGATAGCAAGTAGTTTGCTCCATCACCTCTGTTCCATGGTTGTCCCTTGAGAAATTTTCTCCTCCCACGTTTACAATACGGTTGGCGAACATTGGAGGCTCCACTTTGCGCTATATGACATACATCTATCCATGACCACCATCGCATTGACAAAGTTGAGGGCGATTGTGAACTCGATATACAGCCAGCCAGTTTTCCGCTAGCTCAGAGTAAAGGCTTAGCAGCACGATCCATGTACCACTCATGGCAACAAAAAGTGGCCATTGTGATCTCATGGAGCTCCAGACTCCAAGCAACCAATTTGGATTCAGCCATAAATGAGTCTGTAAGATTGCAAGTCTCTGCATGGCAGAAAACACAGATATCAGCGTACATGAATTTTGCAGGAGACCTTATTTGTTGTTTATACTAAGCAGTCTATAAGGGTAAAGGTTATAATGAAATAACCTTCCATCCAGAATGTTTTTTTTTTGAACAAAAACACTGAACAAATATCTGGCCTGGTTAAGGACCTGCACTCCATTTGTCAGCAATGGGTTGAGTACAGTGCAATGCGTCTAATGTAGTCCATTTGATTATTCACATGACGACATCTCCACCCTAGCAAACTCTCTTTCAGAGAGAATAAATGAAGGACAAAACTTTTCTGATCTGCCATTCTTTTTGTACTTGAGAGACTACCTAATGTACTTTTGAAATAACAACTGCCGGCCAAACAACATATTCATTCAGCAACTACAAACTTAGCGGAAATCTTACTACTGGAATATGTAATCGGTTAGCAACAATATATCTAAGCAATGCGGATGAAAAAAAAATATGAAGAAATAATATTTTTGAAACATGGCACATGCCATCTGGCTGATATTCCGTCCATATAAGTTTCTCAAACGAAACCGCCTACGATACATACCCGCACATTCGTGCGGGCTACCTTCCTACTTATGTTAAAAAGGATAATCAAATACTCATTCAATTACTTGTTAATGCTAGTAAAAGCAATAATGATGAGAGAATTAAAACTAGTTTCAATTGTAAAGTTAAATACAATTAAGAGTCAAGGTTTATCACATACCAGTTACCACCATGGAGGTAAGTTCAGTCCCTGAAAATAGCTCTCTACAACAACCACAGCTCTCTGATGTGTCATGAGTTCTACAATTATCACAGCTCTACGATGCGTCATGAGTTCTACAAGATGGTGGCATCAACATCTACACATATTAAACGTTTTTTAACAAATAAGATTGTTGCGAGAACAGCAAAAAAACAAAATGGAATAAAGAAAGGCTGTATATATACCAATTAGATAAAACTTACTTGATGTTGAGAGTCTTTGATCTATAGTTCACATGACGATAGATGTTGATGCTGGGCAGGACAGACTTCTCTTCAGCTTGGTTGTTGCAGAGATGGGTGGAAGAGTACGAAGGACATCAGGCCTAGGTATTGATTGTGAACTCTCGCCTTTCTCTAGTGATGATGTTTGAGATTTCTCTATTATCTCTGCAGCTTTGATGTCCTCCCGATGATGCGCACTTTGGCTCTGACCCGCTTGCACCACAGGACGCTTCACCAGTTTCCCTTTTGCAAAATACTTAATTTTCTCGAGGCTTTGGAGGTTAGCCGTGCCGCAGACTGCTAACTCCGAGCTGCAATCCTGAATGGTTATTGTTTCCAGCTTGGGCGAGGTCCTCTCCTCGAATGTAACCTTTCTCAGCTCCTCCAAAGAGTCAAGTCGAAGAGTCTTTAGCCCTCGGAACTTCCCATGGCAAAGAACTAGCTCTTTTCCAATGTAGGCATTTAAAATAAGACGGAGGCATTTGAGGCCGGGCAATTCCCCGAGTACTTGTATGGATTCAGTATCCTTCAGTTTGGTGAAAACTAGCTGAACCTTTACCAACTTCTCGAGCTTTCCGACCCAACTGGGGATTTCATGAAGGGAGCCTTTCAATTTGAGGGTGTGGAGGAAGGGAGGTGGGGAAGCAAGCTGCTCAAGCATGTGGAGGCCTCGGAAGGGTTTGGCCTCCACACGAAGGGAACAGAGAGAAGAAAGCTTCTGAAGGGCTTCACAGAGATAACTGACATTCCTCTCGGTGACCCCTGCCACGCCTAATTTTTTCAGCTGAGTAAGTTCCCCCAACTCGTGGACTGCTTTCTTGTTGCTTCGTGCGATATCCACAAGCTCAAGAATCTGTAACTCCTTCAGGCTCCCTATTCCTTTTGGTACGCTCACCCTTGCGGAACTCCGCCACCACCTCCGAGGATTTGTCTCCGCTAATCAAATGTGGCAATATCAAGGGCAATTTCATTGTAGTTACTAAGGATTTTTTGGGCTCACGGGTAGTAAATTCGAAGTGACTGTAAACTCCAAGGGTGCTACACCGGAGACTGCGGAAACTACGAAGTTCAGTGACTTCTGCGGGCACTTTAGTAATTAATGATCTTTTCAGGTTTAAAGTTTGCAATCCTTGCAATTTCCTGATGGATCTTGGAATATGGTAAATATATGAACCTTTCTTCACAGATAGATACCTTAAGTGGCAAAATGATCCTATGTTACTGATGTCGTTCTGTGTTACACGACATAGACTAAACTCTAGATCCAACACTCGGAGCATCCTTAGCTGTGGTGAGCACAGTGAAGCTAGTTGCTCTTTAGGATTGTAAAAGAAACTTAATGACCGGACATGGCTTAGATCAAAGCTTAGGTATGAATCCTGTCTCCCATCAATAGAAAGGTGATGGATGTTTTCAGGTGGAATACCAGAGACAAACCCTTTCGTCATGAATACGAAATTCTCCTCTGCGGAAATAGAAATTGCGATATCACGCATGATATCATGGAGTACACAGGACTGTACTACTCCATGACTATAAAACCTACATGGTTGAATCATGCTTCTATTGATGAGTTCATCGAAATAACTATTTCCAACATCCTCCATAGCCATTCCAAACTTTGCATCCACAAAACCCTCGGCTATCCATCTATTTACCATACACCTCCTTTTTATTGGAAAATCCTCGGGGAAAATGCTAAGGTACAGAAAACATGGCTTGAGATGAGATGGCAAGTGTGTATAACTAAGTGTAATTACTCTAGTCATTTCTTCAAGACTTGACTTTGTTTTGAGCCCTGAAGATAGCTGCAGAGACAGTTTTTCCCAATCTTCTATGCATTTCGTGCGAAGGACAGCTCCTATCGCAACAAGAGCTAGCGGTAAGCCTCCACATCTTTCTAGTATCCTATCAAACACCTTCTCAGCCTTGCCTCTTTTATGTCCTCATAACTTTTATTTGATTTTCTCAGCAGCAATTGTTTAGCATCATCTGTTTTTAAGGGTTCAAGGCGGTACAGATAAGAAGGATAAGCACAGTTTTGAATTATGCTGGCATCTCTCGTGGTTACTATTATGCGACTTCCTCCATTATTAGAGTCAGGAAAAACAGATTCATTAAGCCAATTCAATGCATCTATGCTCCACATGTCATCTAGAACAACAAAGTACCTTTTCTCTTTTAGACCTTGCTTCAAGTCTTCCACGAGGTCTTCCACTTTCTCATTCCTTTGCATGCTCTGAAGACCTTTGAAGTGTTCATTTTCCGAATCACCACCCAAAAGTTGCTTGATTAGTCCTCTCAGGAGCTCTGTCCTGACAAATGACTGTGACACAGTGACCCAAGCACGGCATGAGAAATTATTAACAATATTAATACTATGGTAAACCTTTTTAACAAGACTTGTCTTCCCTAGACCGCCCATGCCAACTACAAAGATCACTTTAGCAAGACCATGGTTAGCATGGACATCGATCAAATTAAGTATACTTTCCTTTGCATCATCAAAACCCACAAGTTCAGCCTCATCAATGTTCTTAGCTGACCAGTAGCGAAATTCATCCCTCAAGGTGTCATGCTCATCGGTGTTAGGGCTGATTAATGAGTACCGTGAATTCCTATCGCTCACTTCTTCAACTCTTGATTTGAGGTCACGAATCTGGATGGCAATGCGATGGCGATGTTTGAGCTTCATCAACTGTTGTGACAAGCTTTTGCTCCCCACGTGAACCATAAACTCAGCGAGGCAATCTTCAATGTCAAAAGATAAATCCCTTACTTGCTCCACCCACGCTTTCAACAGCCTGGGTTTTTTCTCCATCTCTTCAGCTGTCATCAGGAATGCTTGCATCGTTTTCAGCTCGTCTTTGAGGACAATTTTAGGACATTACATGGCTTAAATTTATTCTATCACCTAAAGTATGAAAATCAATTCGAATAATCACTTAAAATGGTTTTACCACTTGGTACCAGGAGTTTTGTTTCTTTTTTTGGGGGGTGGGGGTGGGTGTTTGAAAATAACCAGTTTGGAAAGTTTAGGGTTAACGTTTTCCTAAACCAATATTTTGTTTGCGTAAGTAATTAAAGAAAACCTACCAGATCTCCTTGTTCACACCAATCAGTAAGCTTATCTCTGCAGCAGCTGCCTCTCCGGCCTTCGTGATGGCATTCCCCACCAGCGACCTTGCCATGCTCAACACCGTCTCCGCCATTACCACCAGATCAGTCCTGTTAGAACAATGGATCTCAGAATCGAAGCCTATTCCGTTAAATTGTACTTCCTCCGTTTAATATTAAAAGACTTTCTAGCATTGCCCACATTCATATATATATTAATGAATCTAGACATATATGTATGCCTAAATTCATTAATATCTATATGAATGTGGACAATGCTAGAAAGTCTTATAACCTGAAACGGAGGTAGTATCTATTTCCTTGCAAGGTTGGAATATGTACAGAGTGACTAGATGCGGTTATTTTTATCAGAATGTAGCACGTCCAAAAGCCAGCGGAAAGAGTTAAGTCACCTCGTGGATATCTACCCTTCCGTCCCAAAATATAGCAACTTTTATCATTCAAAATTTGTCTCAAAATAATTACAAAGCTAGAAAATTCGTAGATGCTGGCAAAGCCTAATTACAGTTAACAAGCATGCGATTGTTTGTAGTTTGTACATAACTACATATATACTGTAAAAGTTAATACTAATGCAAGTAAACTTTAGTACCGTAATTGTTTTGAACCATAAGCATGATCCAATACACATGCCAAAGTTCAAATGTAAATGAAAAAAAAAAGGGGGGGGGGGGGGGGGAACGCGGCAATAATCACCTTAGTACGACAGTACCAAAAGTAGGCCTGATTATTATCCAAACATGAAACCTAACTCCTCAAGTAATGGCTAATCAAGCTTACACCTGCGAATCAAATCACTGCACCCAGATCTGCTGAAGACATCATAGATTCACAGCCGAAGTGTTCAGCTCTTGCCGAATTTTAAAAGAGAGAGAGAGAGAGCAGTGGAAACATTGAACCAGGAAAAAAAGAACTCGTGGAGTCAGCTAACGGGCACATACCTGCAGAGATCTCGCTGTTCAGTCTTGGAACTGCAGGAGATCAGTCAGCCTCGGCGCATCGAGCAGGCCAATTCCGAGTGCTTTTATAGCGAATTCCCCCCTTTCCCTTCCGTCCCACACTTTCTTTTTTTTTTTCTCTGTCGCAACTATTTTTATCGGGTGATTGTGAAGATCGAAGCAGTACCACGTGAGCGATCAATGCAGTTAGCTTGCTCCAACAAATTAGCAATACTAGTACTTAAAAAAAATGTAACGAATCGAGCATCCCGTTGACTCGCGATAGCGGGAGGAACAAGGGGGGAAGAGAGCCGTTGGCTGCCGCCGACAGTTGCCAAGAGAGGAAGGAGGAGATGCGGCGGCGGCGGCGGCGGTGAAGTTCCAGATCGGAGACGGCGAAGAAGGACTCACTTTGGATGGCTGCGAGATGGAAGGGAATCGCTATGGCGGACGGTGTAGGAGCGGCGGCGGTGATGTGCCGCAACTCCTACACTTTTTCTTCCTTCGTGCGTCCGTTCAGATCGATCGATCTCGGGCCTGGTACATTTTGCAATTTGGTCATGCGCCCAACATTTTTAGGGGAATTGAACATGTGAAAATCCCGTATTTTTTTACATTCCATACAATTTTAGGTCATGTCTAGAGGATTTTTAAGATTATAAAAAAGGTTGCTAGTCAGTTCTCGAGAATATCGGAAAGCTAGATTTCTTAGCTATAAATTTTACTTATAGATTATATATACTTGATTATTTTGATGTTGTAAATTCTACTATAACTATAGATTATTGGTGAGAATTTACATGATTTATGGAACTGGAAATTCGGAGAGAAAAAGCTGCTATAAGCTCCTCAAACAAGCTCTCGTAGACTTGTTGCAATTTTAGTTAACTCATATCGATAATGTTCTGCCTCGGGCGACCGACGTCGAACAAAAGTATCGGGCTTCTTTCGCATCGCCTCATTCCGCATCATCTCCTCTCCCCTGCCTCTCTCGTCTGCGCCACCTCCTCTCCCCCGTGCTCCTTCGCCCACGCCGACTCTCTCTTCCGCCAACCTCGCTTGTGCCACCTCCTCCACCGGATCCACGCCGTCAACATCCGCCGCAGCTTTTCGGTTTCCTCGACGTCGACAGCAGCCTCATCCCCGTGGAGGCGCACTACCCATGCTATGCCATCGCCTACGACGTCATCGACTTCACCGACCATTTTTTCTCGTCGTCCTGAATGCCTGGCGCCGCCGCGACATCCTTGACGGCCACATCCTCTTCTCACGCAACATCGACGGCCCCAACGAAGACCGGAGGATAGCACCAAAGTGGAGGAAGAGGTAGATCTAGCCTGATTTTTTTTTTTTGGATTTTCGATGTTTCAGCATATGTATCTAAATGTTTCATTAGATTAATCAAGATGTTGCTGTCAGTTCTCGGTGGTGTTTCATTATATTTTTTGGATTTGTCATGTTTTAGCTTTGTATCCAAATGTTTAATTTATTCAATCAAAATGTTGTAGTGAGTTCTTCGATGAATTCAGATTTGCTGTTGTTCAACACCTTTGAAACCGATGTTTTATATGTTGTAGAAAAATGTTCCAAGAGTGATTTAATTGTGTTTCATCATTTCTGTAGCCGAAACATCATTTTGTTAGGCACTGAAACATTTTTTTACATAAGGTGGTGAAACAACGCTCGATCTTTTAGAAAAAAATTGGGCGTCCAATTTGTAGTTTTTCCACAGACAAATTTGAGTTTATCTTTAGGCTTTGCAGGTTCGTCCAATATAACACCTTATCTATATGTGAGTTTAATTGGTTTCCAAATTTTTTAAGGAACTTCTATACTCTTTGTTCCCATCATATATTTACCCCGGACAAAGGCATATGAACAGGTCGTTGGGCTCAGTTTTTTCAGATTAATTATTTAGTGGATTATTTTCTCCACACATGGAAATATACGTTATTAAAAAAGTAATTCTTCTACTGCATTTCTAAGATTATTTTAAGCTATTTATTAAGCTGATTTCTCAAAATATTTAAATTTTCCCTATTGCAGAAAATCTGTCACAACAATCCGCTCGATAATTTAAATCAAACTAAGCCTGAAATTGGGGGTTGAAATGGATGGTATTTTTTCCGTTTCACAATATAAGTCATTCTAGTATTTTCTACATTTATATTGATATTAATGAATCTAGACATATATATCTATCTAGATTCATGTCTAGATTCATTAACATCAATATGAATATGGGAAATGCTAAAATGACTTACATTGTGAAACGGAAGATGTAAGACTTAAGATGAGTACAGCCCCTGTGAGGTAACTAATAAATATAAAATTAAGTAATACTCATTGAGATCGATAATAAGATGCCCACGCTACAACATAATACTTACTAAACTAATTAACACGAGTAAAGATGGGATGACCAAACCATTCCGGTCTTTGACAACAACATCAAAGTCAAGCTCCAGCTCACCCCCACATGTTAGTTTTGTCCGGTTCCCGGAAGGCAGCAAGCCTGCAAATCTATTGTAACATGGATCGTTGCAATTTGAAGATGACTTAAATAGGCTAATACATTTCATCTCTTTCAAAATACATATCACCCATAACTTTTAAATTGTTTGCTTATGGACTTACGTTAATGGTTTTATTGTGTTGCACCATACTTCAATTATGTTGTATACCTGTTATCCAAAAAAAAGAACTTCTTCAAGTTTAAATAGCAGCACACGACTGAGTACGAATAGTATATGTAAGTGTTGTAAACGAATATAGTTGCACATTCCAATAATTCCCATCTAAGTTCAAAAGTGCCGAGCACACTTAAGAATAGATGCACACTCCCAATTAACTGTACGCTTACAATACACAGACCATATTCAATTCAAATGTGTGGTCACACACTAAAAAAAATAAAATAAAAACTGAACAAGAAAGATGAAGTAGAAAGAGTGAGGAATCAGTGAGTACAAGCTATAGCAGCAGCATCACAGCAATCTTCATATCCGGCTGAAAAGAAGAAACTGCGATCACAAAATTGCAATAGAGAGAAACTTGAAATATATATATAGAACATCTCAGAAGATAATTACATAACAACAGAAAAGGCTGCACCAGTGCACTAACGTAGCGGTGTTGCATAAGTACGCTGCTATAGTATTCCATGTTTATCTCCCTAAGAATTAGACAAAACACAGATTATTGGAGCACCAGTGTACCGTACGTGCAAAAAACACTCTTATTTCCAACACAGCAAAAAGATGTAGGGAAATAAATACAATGCACAGAAGTACGAATTACTCATTCTGCACTCGTGAATTACAAACAAGTAGCTGATCTAAAATGATCTGCCTAGCTCTTGAAATGACAGCAAACAGTTTACCACATCCCCGAGATAATTAGTATCGCTCCTCCACGTTTACTAATTACAATATTGCCAGGAACATTGGAATGCATTTAGTTCTCCTCTTCTTTGCAGCATACGACATTTCGATCCATGTGACCACCAGAGCATTCGCAAAGTTGAGAATGATGGTGAACTCTAGCTGCAGCGAGATTGATCATAATGCTTATTAGCGACACGTGATTCAAGTATATATGAATTAGCGTCTTCATGGGCACAAAAGTTGCGATCTCTGATGGCATACAACACAGCTCCAAGCCACCAATTTGGATTTCTGCCAGAAATAGCCAAGATTGTAGCTTCAACCATTGAGCTTCAGCAAGCCATATGCATTCTGCATGGCAGAGAAACAATATCAGCATATTCATGCATTTTTGCATGGGGCTCCAAATTGTAGTTTTGACAAAGCAATCTATAAGGGTAAGGGTTAAAATGAAATGACCTACCATCAAGATTTTTTTTTCTTCCTTCGAACAAGAATACTCACTACTACACTACACCACACTAATTTGTTTCCAGGCGGCCCATTAGTGCAACCGCACAGAAAAATGAAAAACGGGCATCAGAGCATCGCCCGCATAGGAAAATCTATTTTTGTGTGCAGGTCACTTAACAGGCCCGCATGAACACGAAAATAGCCCACCCCACGCGCTCACCCTTATCCTCTCTCGTCACGGGCGCGCGCTGCCATTAACTTCCCACCACCTCCCCATCCATCCTCCCTCTCCCTCTCCCTCTCCTCCTCCCCATCCTCCCATCTCCCTCTCCCTCCTCCTCAGCGACGCCGGCGCCCTCGATAAGGGAGGCGGAGACGGCGGCATCGATGGTGGTGGCGGCATCGGCGGGCGCGGCGGTGGCGGCATCGGCGGGCACCCTGGCTGCATCGGCGCGCGGCATCAGCGGACGGCATCGATGGACGCGGCGGCGGCGGAGCAGATCCGTCTCCGGCCGCCGCGTGGGAGGCCGGATCCGTCGCCGGCCACCGTGGGAAGGCCGGATCCGTCGCCGGCCGCCGCGGGGAGGCCGAATCCGTCGCCTGCCGCCGCGGGGAGGCCGGATCCGTCGCCTGCCGCCGCGGGGAGGCCGGATCCGTCGCCTGCCGCCACGGGGAGGCCGGATCCTTCGCCGGCGACCGCGGGGACGACGGCGGTGGTCACCGGCGACGACGACGGTGGTGGCAGCGACATCGACGACGGGCCTCAGGCAAGGCAGCGACGACGGTGGTGGTGGCGGCGGCGACGGTGGCTACGTTAGGGTTTGTGGGTGGATGTTGATTTTTTTTTTGTTTTGGTTTTTTATTTTCCCATGCGGACGGCCTAAGCGACCGCATGCGAAAATCGATTTTCGCGTGCGGGTGCGTCACCCGCACAAAAAAATGGGGATTTTTGCAAATGCGACCTTCCAGACGGGTGGAATCCCCGCACGCAAAAATCATGCCACCCGCACGGAAAAACCATTCATGTAGTAGTGACTGAACAAACATCTGGTGCATTTGTCAACAGAAATAAAAACTTGAGCAATTCTATAGTAATTGAGGAGGTATTATGAGGTACCAAAAATTTAATATAAAATTTGGTACCTTATGAGGTATCAAATTTACAATAGAAAAAGTGGTTTCAAGGATTGAAAATTGCTTTCGTTTTTTGCACGCATGCTTCCCAAACTACTAAACGGTGAGTTTTTTGCAAAAATTTTCTATATGAAAGTTGCTTTAAAAATAATATTAATGCATTGATGAAATTTAAAATAATTAATACTCAATTAATCATGCACTAACACTAGAACAGGTTCGGTCAGTAACGAGCCTAAAGCCTCATCTCTATCGGGTAGCACCCCCGTCACTAAGCCTGATGTGAGAAAATATCTCAATCGGATATTCGGCCGTCACAGATGTCACACATCTCAATCAGGCCAACATTATAGCCCGTCACGGATGACTCTCATCTCAATAGGCCTAAACATAGCCCGTCATGGATGACTCTCATATCAATCGGGCGTAAACTATAGCCCGTAACGGATGACTCTCATCTCAATCGGGCCTAAATTATAGCCCGTCACGGATGATTATAATAAAAAAAATAAATTTTATTTTTTGGCTACCCTCAGGCCTCTGCTAGGCACGCCCGCGGGCCGGTCTTTTATGCAACCGGTCGGTCACCCATCCCGAAA